TAAAAGGGTTTTTTTTTTTTTTTTTTTTTTTTTTTTTTAAATCTCCTCTTTTTGTTACAAGTCATTTGAAGGGTTGAGAGGGGTGGAATCAGGTGTTCATCTTACCAGGCAGCCCAGTATCCTCATGTGTTTCCTTGCTGCGTTGAAGTGTTCACACTTTACTGGAGGAGCTAACTCTTTATGGCATGATATTTCTTATGCCTCTTTAAATGGTGACAGTCCCAAAATGCAAAGACTTTTCCAGATTCAGAAAAGCAAAGATGCTTCAAACTGGTTGCTCCAACACTACCAACGAACCAGAGCCTCCTGTCGCACAGCAAAACATTGTCTGCCTGTCAAGATAATTTCTGAAGGCCTGAGGCATCCAGAAATTATGTGGAGGGTTTTGCAAGAGTCCCTCTGCCATTAGCTCTGCAACAGAAAATTTCCAGGAGTATGTCATCTTTGACAAGTGTAATTATGCCTAATGCAGTGTCGAAACTTCGCAGTTTTGAGGAACTTGCTGTCGGTCTGATCCCTGTCCACCCACGTCTCCATCAGAGAGGGTCTGTAACCGGTCAATGCTTCTTCTAGGTTGACATTAGTTGGAAGCCTGCACAAATTCTGGGAATTTGATTAGAGAGAATATCTTTTTTCATTTGTAACACTGAACAAGGAAAGCTTTTTTTTTCCTGCCTTTGAACTTCATTTTCTCCTCCACCCAAAATGTTATTGAAATCTCCTGGGCTCTGTCAGGTCAGTTGGGGAATTCCTGTCCTCTTCTTCCTGCCAATACACTCTGTGCCCCTGCTGCGTTGCCACCAAAATCCTATGCTATTAGACCCCAAAGGATGATCCAAATTCAGATTTAATCTTGGGCAAAAAGAAGCCTTTAGATCAAATATCCCCACTACTGTGCAAAGCAAAGACTCTGAATGCACCGCCATGCAATGATCATTAGAGGAACAGAGGATCTGAAGTTTAACGCTCACCCAGATGAGTGATGGATAAACATCGCTTTCCTAAAAAAAGCACTTTCTCATGCTCTTTAATCCATCCAGAATTTAACAACTGGGTGCTGACTGAGACACAGCTTGATTGGGGAGAGATGAAGGGACAGAGAGGAAGCTTAACACACAGGCAGCTCAAAGCAAATGCTTTTAATGCTGCCTATCTCAGAAGCTTTGAAGAAAAAGTCCTTGTGTCCTCGGTGGTTCTCTGTGGCAACTTTTTGGCATTAAAGTTCGCGTAAGAGAATTATGAGTTTCCCATTATCACGTATGGAGATGGGATCCATTGTGCTGATTCCCACGCTGTGGAGATTTAACATTTTCCACGCTTCATTCTGCAGATATACTGTGATGTGTCCTTTTCAAGCTGCAGCTGACTACATTGAAATCTTGACTGACACCTCTTATCTGATAGGGGCTGCTTTTCCGCTGGCTGCTCTTTAGAGTGATAAATGTCAGGAGTTTGGGAGTTTGCTTGTATCTAGGCGCTCCATCTGAGACTTTGGGCAGGTAATTATCCTGAGACCATGAGACTTTGTCATGAAATCCACTGCTATGTTTGTATAGGGAATGAGTCAGCCAAGGGTCATGGATTTGCTGTATCCAGGAATTGGGAAGCATCCACAAAGATAAGGAGGGAAAGATAAAATCTGAACGAAGATTTTCCTCAACCGAAAATGAAAGCAGATCTTTTCTGACATTGTGAAGTTGTCTCTGTTGATCACCTTGGAAGGCCATGAGTTGGGATTGACCCAGTAGCCTCCAGATTTGAGGCTTCAGTCAACCAAGCAAAGCAACTAACCCTTGCAGAATGGTGTCACAGCTGGAGCAAAGCGATAAACCTCTTACATGAGGGAACCAGTAAAGAAACCAGAGACCTATGGCAGTTAGTGGGTTCTAAACAGAAAACTTTCTTCCCCTGTAAGTCCTTTGTCCTGGAGAAAACTGCAGGGAGGAAACATCTAGAGAAGGGGAGGATTCTTCCTCCCCCTTCCTTCTTCTGTGTCTCACCTTTGCTCTTCCAGGTCCATTTAATTCTTCAATTCCAACATTTATCACCTGAAAGCTGAAAACTGGATTCACTGGAATCTGTGAAATTTTTACTATAATATTTCTCATTTCTCATGAGATCTGAGAAATTAGAGTTGGCAATTAGTGGAGGAAAGGAGAGATGGGACTCACCTTGCTCATTCTCTTCTTTGCCCAGTGCCAGTATGTTCCCACCAGCATACCTAGTGAAGCTGAAATAACTAAGGTCTCTGTCTGGAATTAATGTCAACCTTTCTTTTTCTGGAAAAGCACAAGACAATCTCAGTGAGCTCTTCAAATCCTTATCCACCACAGGAGGAGAGAAGGGTTTGCATCCTGTCCAGGCATAGTGGCTAATGAGGAGTCTGCTAGAGGCTGATGCTGGCAGCAAAGCCTGGGCCAGGTGAACTGGGGTCACTGTGGGGTGGCACTGAAAGGACAGAGAGGCTCTGACAGCACCCATCACCACCCTGGACCCAAATGCAATGTGCTTTCCTTGGACAATGCAATCTCTCTTGAGAGTCATGGTTGTGATTAAGGTACCCATTGCTGCCATTCTCCCTTCCTTGCTCAGACATGCCGCAGCTGGTGATTTAGGTGCAGCAGGATGACCTCTTTGCCCATTCCCAAGGTGTTATGCCATTCACTTAGCCATGCTAAGGGAAAACATTCCCCTTCCCCATCTAAGAGCTGGGAAAGTGCTTTCGTGCATGTTGGCTGCCCTGTGCCTGGCTCCATGTTTCTTGGGCAGCACTGCGGTCCTTACCCAGCAGCTCCTGCTCTGCAGGAGCTTGGCCCCTGTTTGGAGGCACAGGGTGAGGAGCACTGGCTGCTGGCTCCGTGTTCAAACGCCTGAGTCAGTTCGTTTAGGTGCTTGAGGGTAACAGTTACTTCATCTGTTTGGCTTTTTTTTCTGTTGTTTGTGCCTTTGTTTGCTTCCCCCTCCTTTCCCCTTAACATACCCTTTGAGCTCTTCTTCAATTGAAGTAAACGGAGCAGCTGCTATGGTGTGTGTTGTTTTTCCCATTTTCCCCTGTGAGTCACACATTTCCTTCCTTAATGTCTCTATCTTCCGTCGGTCTGTACTAATGAAGCCCCACATCTCAGCTGCTGAATGCTCAAGCTCGTCTGCCTGGAATTTTCGAACTCATTTCAATTCATTTCCCACTTTCCCCTCTCCCCCCTGCTGCCTTTCTCCCATTCCCATCCCATCTCTCTTATTCTCCTCTCCCTGCCTTGGACTCTTCTTCCCTCTGTGTGTCCCACCAGCCGTAGCTCCCTGCCTGCTGCCCTCCGCAGGGTGCTGAGACCTGTGCATCATTGCATACATGATACATGTGCTGGGAAGGTACATCAAGGAGCTGGCAGCACCACTGTGGGGTGCAAGGGGGCTGGAGAAGCTCCTCCAGGAGCTGTGGGAACTAGGAAGCACTAGGAACAGGCATTGGCCCTTTTGTCTCTCTTTTTTCCACAGGGGAAAGAAATAAGGCTGCACAGTCCCATTCCTGAGATCCAGCAGAGAAAGCTACCTATGTACATGTAGCTGTATATCTTGTATGGGTTTCAGCCCAAAGCACATGGTCAAGAGCAAGCAAGAGCAATGGAAAAAGGCAGCAGCTTCACTCGTCTATGCTTTGCTTACGAAGATCATTCTTTCCACAGCTTTAGCTACTCCGAGAAAAGAATAGCAATGTGGAGCATAGGAAGCGTTTCGCTGGTATGCCCTGTGTGTCACGGAGGTCTGAGGCACTGGGAGGAGAAGATGTGAGCTGAGAGGTTCTGCCCTTAACAACGTCAGGTACGTCCCATAGCACCACTGCTTGGTGCTTGCTTGTGCTAAAATGAACCCGTGTGCTGATGTCTGCTGATCAGGGGTGTCAGTGCTAGTCCTGGTTGTTGGTTTTTTTCATCCTTATCACTGCTTTTTGGGGGGGTTTGGTGGTCTCTTCTTATTTCAACACCAAGCTCTTCGGATCTCTGTTGCATTTATATCCTTAGGCTGGCAGAAGACAGGGACTGCTGTTTCTTCTCTTAAGAAAGTGGGGAACTGAGGCACAAAGAAGCAAGGACCCAAGTTGAAAGTTAGACTCAGGGCATATCACCTGTAATATGCCAGCAGCCCTTGTCTAGAGGAGCCTGGGACAAATCAGCACTGCAGTCTCGGTAGCGTCCCTTGGCAATGTCAGGGAAGATGAAGAGACTCCCAGGAGTCTCTGGTTTTGATAGCTATGCCCACTGTAAAGTCCAGTGTCACAACTGGATCAGATCCCTTCTCGGCTTTCACTCTTGTCTCTCTTCCACCCAGTATAGCTGTCTTTTCCTTTCAGGAATAAGCAGAACTAAGTCCTTGAGATTCAGCTGCAGGAATCTGATCCCAGACCTTGAGTTTTGCAGGTTAATTCCATCCTTACCACCAAACATCTGATTCCCCCAAAAGAAAATCAGGGTTAAGATCATTTTAGAATCCTAATAGAACAAATAAATGCAAATCTTTGCCAGGGAGAAAAAAAAAACCTTGATAGAGATCAGACACTGACTTACATGCCCCTGGGAGAACCATCGGAAGGATCCAGAGTTATGTGCACTGGATGGCTGGAGGAATTTTGCTCTTGCTTCAGATTTTGTTATGCTGTTTTTGCTTTAAAATGCAGGTTCAAAGGGAAAAAAATAACATAACAAAACAAAACACGCCAGTGCTTTCCTCTTTGGCTTCAGGGCCTCCTGTTGAGGTTCCCTCATCACCATAGAGATAATATTGCTTGTTAGGCCTAAGACTAGCAGTTGGAATTCAAGTGGACAAAAAGACCTAAACAAACCCATTGTAAATCCCCAATTACTTTCAAACTGTCAGGCTTATTAAAAAATGTAAATATCCGTCTCATTCTTGCAGAGAGTGTATAAAAATGCATGAGGCTAAAAGTCAGCTGAGCTGAAAGGAGTTGATTTCTGAAATAACTTTGTGGGAAAATGGCCAAAGTTGCTCCTGGATGGCAGAGGGAGGACAATATATAGGACAATATATACCTACTTGCCTGAGCCACCGGTCCCACGCACCTTTGCTGTTGGCATGCTGTTGGTGTTACTCTACCCTACTAGACTACCGCCTTAATAAAAGTTTTTAGGCTGATTTCCAGCTGCAGGGGGAATTTCTGCCAGCTGATACAAGTTGGACCCCAACTGCAGGTGGCTGAAAGCACAGTGTGCTTTTCAGTATTTACTTCTCACCTCAATGGAACCATTTTTCTATTTATATTTTTCTCCTGCTTCCTCTTTCCTATTCTGCAATCAGGGATGGTGTTTCTCTTGTTCTCAGATTTTGTCTTGCTCTGACTGCATAGGAGTTTCTTGTGAGTGTTTTTTTTAGTGCAATGCAAAAACATCTCCTTTCTCACCATGACCTACTCCTGTATTCAACAAGGACTGGCTCCAGAGGCTGGGATTTCCCAGCCATGAGGCAGAGGTGGTGCTAGCCCTGCAAGATGTTGAGGTTATTTCTGGAAGGATCCAGAGTTCCTTTCCTTTTCTTCAACATGAATTATATTGAAGACCTCCTTCCCCACTGTTATCCTATCGACAGCTACCAATGACAGTCCTCAGGAGGGAACATGACCTTAACAAAGGAAACTTAATGTGTTAGTGTATTGGCAGACTCAAGTGTAGTCTTTCTGGTGGTAGAAAAGGGCCAGTGTTCCACACAAACTAGGGAGAAAAGCAATATTCCTTCCACTCGCCCCAAAGCCCAACATCTACTATGTTGGCAGAAGGGTAAAATGATCCCTGGGGAGCCCTGAAAGGCAAACTGGTGTGCCATGGGTGCTGGGAGGTCGGTTATACTCTATAGCAAATAATATCCCACTCAATTATCTCTCAGGCTGAAGATACAAAGAGCTCTTGCCTGGAAGGGATCCTCCTTGTCTGGTCTCTTGAATATCACAAGATATACATTCCAAACACATGAACATATTTTGTACAGTTGTGCTACTTTGGAGCCCAAGAGCTTTCTGTTTGTTTTTTTTTTTTCTGCTAGATTTGTTGACTTCACAGCAACCACCCATGATAACAGGATGCTCAAGCCAAAGGTACAAGATTGCCCTACTCCAAACAATTTACCATGTAATAAAAAGCCAGGAAGAACAGCTGGATGTTAGACAGTGAGATAAATTAATGTAAGATGTAGTGGTCCAGCACATCAGCTACTTCCTTGTGGTGTCCAGATTTGGTAGGCATCATAGCAAAGGAGGAAATGAAAAAAAATTTGAAGGCAGAATAATAACAAGGAGAAAGCATTAATATGTTTGTGTGGAAGTAGGATGCGTGGTCAGCAGAGCGGGATGTGTATGTAGTGGCACTGATGGGGCACTGGTAGCAATCGAAGAAAGGGAAGGAAGAACAGGTCTCCAAAGGAAGGCAAGGAATTTAAATGGCTCATTATGGCATTTCTATGTGCATACCAATACATGATATGGGATTGCCATATTTTATCCAATAACCTGTACGTACCTCAGAGGTGTGTACAATAAATGAGGAAAGGGTTAGCTGTTTAATTTAGGAAGAAAAACTGAAGTTCTAACATAAAAAAAGCATCATTGCTGTTCTGTTCAATCATCAGACTCCAGAATCCCCCTTTTCCACTGTTTGCAGGTACTTTGGCACTATTTTACTATTTTTGTCCAGATGCTTATAAGAACCCAGTATTTCAAATTTCTGAACATTTGAAGGCATCCTCAGAGCCTTGGCAGAAGCATTTTCCTGGGGGAGCCTCTGTTTGAAGCAAGAGTGATGTGGAAGATGTGGAGGTGAAATCTGGCCTTCCCGTGCGGTTCTGCTCCACGTTGCCTTGACCCCCTTGCAACCCGTTCCCAATGTGGAACAGTTTGTAATGTTGTGGTGATTGCCCTCTCAACCTGGCAATTCTGCAGAGGCCTGTCACCATCTCTGGCCTTTCTGAGTGGCTGAGATGTTTTCTGCCTCAAGACTTTAGACGATGCATTTCCAGAGTGAAAGGACAAGAGTTGACTCCGTATTAATGCCAAACTTTAAATGTTTTGACTATAAAACTGAAACACCATTACCTATTCCCCGCAGAGCTCCTCTCTCTCTCCTTCCCTTCTCCTCTCCACACTGTAGCCTTTTGTATGTCTCAGGCATTAATCCCTCGCTGCCGGGGTGTGTAAATTAAAGAATAATAGAGCTGCAGAGGCATAAGCTTGCAATGATGGGGAATGTGTTTGTCTGCTAAGAAGCAATTTCAGCGAAAATTAACTCAATTTCATCTGAAATAGTGAAGACCGGCATAAGCTGGCAGATCCCCGAGGACGGTAAAATTACTTCGTCAAAGCTCTGCTTGCTTAAATTAACCAAGCAAGCACTCCAGGTTATTGGCGAGATGCAGCTAGTAACTAGGTTTTAATAAACAAAAATAGCTTTTTGGATAAATAAGGAAAGTGCAAAGCATATTTTGTATTCGGCTGATGTTTTCATCTCTGTGTCCTCAACAGCAAGACCTTCACGTTCCTTCAGGAGCTTTCTTCAAGTCTCTGTGTCCAGCTGGTCTCTCTTCAGAGCCTTTGCAAACAAGTATGAATCAGAAGGTGCTTTTGGAGATGATGTTGGACGAACCTTTTCTCAGCAACTAACAGACTGAACGGCTCAGTTTGCAACACCAAGGTGCAGTAACAGCAACAGTTTTTATAGATATTTTGTTGGTTATGTTTTTTTTTAAAGTCAGAGGTGACTGTTATTGGGTTTATGACTATTAAATTGCTCAAAATATGATGTGGTGTCAGAACAAGAATTGCTTTTCACTGTCACTGGTACAGCAGACTCCCCAGATGAGTAATTGCTGCCAACAGGCAAGTCAGGCTTTGAGCTTCCCTCCGCCTGGGAGTTCAGGTCCAAGGGGAGTAGAAATTTCATCATGACAGGAAGAGTGGCTGAAGGAACAGCTCAGAGGGCTTGTAAATCTGTTGAGAATGTGCTGTTTTGTATAGGTTTTTTTCATGTGTTTTTTAACTTTTTTTTTTGCTATTAATAGCATTTCTAAGGATTGTGTTTTGTGAAAGGACTTTGCTGTTGGAGGTTATGATCATTACGAAGGGCCTTCTGAAAAATGCATGTTGGGCTTATTCTTTTGCCTCTTAATCCACCACCGTCAGGAAGGAAGATTGTTTCTTTTGGATCCACTTGCTCCAGGTATTGTGATTTTGGTTTCGGGACCAGTATTCATCAAAAATGTCATTTAATTGGGCAGAAGGATAGAGAGTTTAAGAACCTATCCATTGGAAGGGAATGTGGAAAAGGTTCTCAGAATTGCAAAAATACATCATCTCCATTGACTCTCTCTCCTTTACTTCTCTCTCTTCAAAAGAGACTATCAGTATTCAAAGAGCACTTGCTATTTAAAAGCTTTAGGTATGTGTCGTCGGTACCCCAATTGGAACGATGGATTGTTCCTTCTTGTCTTAGCCAAGTCATGATTTCTGGCACTGGGAGCTACTTCCGTCCCTGGCTCCAGCTCCCCAGTGAATGGGACCATTAATGGTTTATCCAAGGAAAAGACACTTGCAGAAGGATCAGAGCAGCCAAACCAGAGTATGAGGTGGAACCCAACCACACAGGGACTGCACTCCCCTTGTTGCTTATTTCTTCCCTGCCTTCCTACCATAAATTTCAGTATCCGCAGCAGGGAAAGCAGCTGCATAGAAGATTTGCTGAGCCATCCACTCATTAAAAAGTGTTTCACTGGCAAAGAAATACTTTCTCTCACTGTTGCATATTTACAGTT